CCCGCACCTCCTGCTGCCCCAGTCCTGGGCTCTTCCCCCCCCCCCCACCCCCTGCTTCCCCCGCCCGCGCCCCCCACTGCACTCCCCTGCTGCCTCAGCCCTGGGCTCTCCCCCCACCCGCACCTCCTGCTGCCCCAGTCCTGGGCTCTTCCCCCCCCCCCCACCTCCTGCCGCCCCAGCCCTGGGCTCTCCCCCCACCCGCACCTCCTGCTGCCCCAGCCCTGGGCTCTTCTCCTCCTCCCCCCCCCCCCCGCACCCCCTGCTGCCCCAGCTCTGGCCCCCACCTGCACCCCCTGCCGTCCCAGCCCTGGGCTCTCCCCCAAAGAAGGAATTGGGGGGACTAAATGGAGAGTGCACCTCTCTATCTGAAGCCTAGCAATGGAGGTATGTGGATCCCACTAGAATTTAAAATGAAAAGAAAGGAAGGGGAGGCTCTGGACCTGGGCAGCTTTAGATACAGTACCAGGCACGTAGGAGGATTTCCACTTCTGAGCCATGGAAGCAGAAATTGACTTTTCCTTTCCAGATATAGCTAATATTCAGAAAGGGAATCTAGCACCTGCCTTCCAGATTTGAACACCCTCAAAATTCAGGAGTGCTCAAGCTCAATTTGGGCAGCTGTTACTTCATTTCTCCCAAATCAAATATACTGATCCACTGTAACTTGCTGTAATAAAAGTAGAATAAATTGAGCAAGAAATGCTTCCCAGTGGTTATTAGGACTGGAATTGCTATTTTCAACAGCCATTGCTTTTTTTTTTTAAGTTTTAGTTTTATTTGTTTAAAAGGAAGACAGTGATAGTGCATTCCCCATAGAAACAAAGAATGGAACAAAAGAATAATAAAGGCACCTCAACTTTTCCTCATTTATGTAGGACAGTCTTATAATATGCATCCAGCTATCCTCCAGTCACACAAGCTGAAAATTGTTCCACTTTACTGCAGTTCTGTAACCATATGGGAATCAATCCTGTCTGTGTTCTGTGCACATCCAAAATTCCTGCTGAATGACCCGCCCTGGGAGTGAGTTACCAGTGACCCAGGGCTGGGGCGGCAGGAGGGTGCAGTTGCGGGAGGAGAGGGGGAGAGCCCAGGGCTGGGGTGGGGGGCAGCCAAAAAATGTTTTGCTTGGGGCAGCAAAAAACCTAGAGCAGGCCCTGTGAAGACAGGTGTATACTGATTAATAAAGAAAGGGGAACACCCATGTCTCTAAAGGTTAGCTTTCTGCAAGGCTGTTAACCATTCTCCGCACCTCTGTTTCTCTAATCTTCTCCCCCCCCCCTTAACAGAAAATGCGTACTTAGCTGACACTTTGATACTGATTGTTTTCAAGATGAAATGGCTGAGTTCATTGGGGCTTGTTTTTCCTTCTGATTTGTTAACCCTTTCTGGGCCCAATCCTGCCTGAATGAGGATTGTAGGATCGGGCCATGAAAGTCTGCAGTATGCTGCCTTGATCTTTAGTGGCTTTAATGACCAGGAAGCTGAAATCTGGGAAGCTGGTTTCTGGCACTTTTGTTCTAGATCATGTGTGTTCTAAAATGAAGAACTGAAAGGCAGAAGTGGAGCTGCCCCAATCCTTTGCAACCCCAGCTTCCCCTCCACACACTATGATTTAATGGGGAAAATTCTTTAATTAGAGCTGATACATACCGTCAGGCTGCCTAGGGTGGCTCACGGGCATGAGTACCAATCTCCAGGTAGACTGTCAAGAAGCAGGGCACAAAACCCAAACTGGGTGTGAGTTCTACAATTAGATTTCACCAACCATGTATCAAGTGTGAACTCCTAAAGCACGATAGCAGCCTTACCACAGAGTTACAGACAGTCCCCTTGGGCACTCCAATCTATCTGGCCACAAGCCAGCCTGTGTGATAGATGATCTTGTACACCAGCAGTTCTCAAACTGTAGGTCATGACCCCATTTTAATGGGGTCACAAGGGCTGGCTTAGACTTGCTGGGAGCCAGGGCTGAGTCAAAGCCTGAGCCCCACTGCCTGAGGCCAAAGCCAAAGCCTGAGGGTTTCAGCCCTGTGCGCTGGGACTCGGGTTACAGGTCTCCTGCCCGGGGCTGAAGCCCTTGGGCTTCAGTTTGCCCATCCCGTGGGGCTAGGGGGGGCTTAGGTCCCCTCTCCTGGGGTTGTGTAGTAATTTTTATTGTCAGACGGGGGTCGCAGTGCAATGAGTCAGAGGGTGATGCTGGCAGCTTCCTGGGAGTCGCGCGGAGCTGGTAGGGAATCTGCCTGTGCTGCCAACTGAATTTTTAATGGCCCAGTCAGCGGTGCTGACCGGAGCCACCAGGGTCCCTTTTTGACCAGGCATTCCGGTCAAAAACCAGATTCCTGGCAACCCTAGTCCCCTCTTCATAGGTCTGGGAGAACAAAGTACGAAGTCTTTTGTCCACTAATGTTCCACAATGGCTTCTCTGGTGTCTGTAGTTCTGTTTTTGCTGCACAGGAGATAATACTTCTTGTGGTAAACTAGCATTTCACACTTGGTGATGTGTCTCTGACTGTCGGATATTACAGTTTAAGCAAATCCATCTATAGTTACAGAGCAAACACTTACATATTACCTTAGAGTATAGATATAAGTAAGACTAATACATACAACATCCTACAAGCATTTCATAAAGTCTAAACATTAAACACAGTCTTATAATAATTCTAATATCTATTTTAACAATACTAACACAGAAGCTAGCCAGACTGGTTTCCAGCTATGCATATGGCAATGTTCAATGAGGCCCAGTGGTCCTGACATGAGCTGGCACCTGGTCTGCCAGCGTCACACATACTACAGGCAAAACCCCTTTTCCTGCGTCTGGAGGTGTGTTAGGAAGAGAAAGCCAGCAAGGAATGCAAAGCCAGGGCCCTTTCCTATTCCCAGCGGAATCCATGACAAACCCCCATTGATTCCAGTGGGAGCAGGGTCAGGCTTATATGCAGCATTACAGTAAAGGGAGGCAGTGTGGCTTAGTGGACTGGACTGGGATGCTGAAGGCTGGATGTGTCTCTCCTGTGCTCTATGTGTTCCATTGCTGGTTCCAAGGCAGCATGGAGGAGGAAGAGAAAGCATCCTGACTGGGACGCAGAGGGGTGAGGAATGGAGAAGGGCAGAGGGGGAAGATATGAAGAGCTGGGAGCAGGCTGGGATAGAAGATGGGAGGGGGATAGGAACAAGAGGGATTGAGAGAGGCAGGAGGTGGGGGTGGGGAGGATAGGAGCAGAGGTGGGGGACATGGTCAAGGGCTGGGGACACAGGTGGGAGAAGAGGGAATGCAGCAGGAGTTGGGAGGGGAAGGATGGGAGCAGAAGGGGACAGACAGGAGAAGGCACAGAAGCTTTGCCACACTAAAGCACACTCCTCTCCAGAACCTGGAACTTAACCCATTATACCTGAATTCAACATTCCTTTTCTGTCAAACAAATATAGCTACGAGACCCATTGGCAAAGTGCGTGGCTTATCGCCCTGTAGTGGCAAGTTTATATAGAAGATGACAACCTCTTACTGCTACTAGTTACTCTGTTAGCTGAAGTGGTAAAGTACCATGCTGTGGATCTAAAGATCCCCGCCTGGCTGATGAATCACATGGGGAGTCAATGTGATTAAATGAAATTTTTGTTTTTTCAACTTTTAATATCTTTAAAAATGTAAGAAATTCCATCCCAAAGCTATATGAAAAGGACGCTAAGGTTGCAAAGTCACACAGTGGAGAGTTAGGAAATACCAGAACTGAGGTTGGCAGTGCAACCTGAATTCACCACCCCCCCACTCTTGTGCATATGCATTATGATACAGTTTTTAATTACACGAGCACCTCACAGATTAAGTGATTTGCCCAAGTTTACACAGGGTACCTGTGGTAGAACCAGGTTTTAACTTCAAACACTCAGCTGGGACCCAGGAGGCCAGCCTTCCTATCTGATAGATGCAAAGATAGATTTGTCCAAGAAAACTGCTGTAAAAAATGTTTACTAAAGCAACACTTCTCACTCCTTTTATCTTAGGCTCTAGATCTTCTGTAACTTTCCAGCAAGAACATGCCCTGGGAAACTCTGCATGAAATGCTGTTTGCTCTTCTGCTCTATCTTGCTTGCCTTCTACCTGGTAAGTGAAGTGACATCTATGTTTGATGTTAAAGCAACTTTTCTGACAATAACCATCCAGCAAGAATTCTTTTATCGTATGGGCTTAGTTTTCAAGGTGAGCATGATGAAGTTGTGTGTGTATGGACGTTTTGAGGACAGAACTAGTCTAGAGTTGTGTGATAGAGAAAAATGTCTTTTGTGCTGCTATTGTTCAACAAATTCTTGTTTTTGCATATTGCTCCATGCCTGGAGAATGTACTGATGGGCACTTTTATATACCAAAAATTAAATTAATAGAAGCAAGCGTATTTTGCCTGCCATCACAACCAGTTACTTCTGGGCTATGAAAATCAAGCTGTATTCACTCTGCATCATATACATCATTCTTGTCAATAGAGATTGTGGAACAGAACTTGGTGAATACGGGGGTGGGGGGGGAGCCAACCCAATATTAATATTCTTGCACACAAAACCTGCTGCTCTGTTTTACAATTATTCACAAACCCTTTTATCAACTTTCATCCACTTGCAGGATCAGGGCCTATGTGGGTGGACACTCAAGCATGCCTAGAGCCCCACTGAAGTCAATGGGGTTCGGCCGGGGCACAAATGACAAACCCCCATCCATGTGGGTCTGGATGAGGAAGGGTTTATTCTCAGAATGTTAACAGAAAGAAAAGTATCTCAAATTCTAGTGTGAATGATTCATAGATTCCAAGGCTTCTCTGAATTAATTCCTGTTTGAACTGAGCAGATCTTTTAGAAAAACAGTTGCTGGGTTATTTGTTGGAGTATGGCTGTGTGATCTGTTATGCCACACTCATCACTGTGGTGTTGTGGGATCATATGCTCATCACATGGCTAATTATTATAATTGTCATCATCGTTTTCATACATATTTCTAAGGAACCTCATCGCAGCAGTGTCTGGGCACAAAAGCCTTATTTATTTTTTTAAAAATCACATTGCTCCCAGGTCAACCAGAAGGAACAGGAAATGGTTAAACTGGACACCCAAAGTGCAGAGGCCTGATCCAAAGTCCACTCGAGTTAATGGGAGTCTTTCTACTGACTTCAGTTGGTTTTGACTATGGCCCCAACTGCATTGGTCCCAAGGAGCTCAGAATGTATCCACAGGTTGAATTCCCCACTTCCATCCTCATCACACAAAGGCAAATGTGAGGCTGCCTCCCCCTCTCCCATCCCAACAACTCTGGGCAGTTGTATGGGGGTGGGGAGATTGGACTCAAGAAGCAAGTGAAAAGTGGGGAAGCAAATGGAAATTGCCCATCAAGCCTTCTCCACGAATCTACTGATGTGCCCATGTCCTGCAGTAATGGCTGGTTTAGAAAGGCTGATTCTGCAGTGAGCCAGCATCACAGCAGCCCTATAACAGCTTTGAAGAAAGGTTTTACATTAAAAAGAAAGTGGTTTCCCAAGGAAACTCACCATCTGCTGATGGAGGAGATACCAGGAAACATACCACACCATGAACCAGAAATAACTGAACCGCTTTCAGCCAGTCAGATCACACAGGGCTGGACCATGACCCTACATACAGCCCTGAACAAAGGGTAGTGAAAAAGCAATGACAAGTTAGGAGAAGCCCCGGGATGCATTGTGACTCAGAGACACCCCTCTGAATCACAGTTCTACCCCTGCTTCCTCCTGGCTTCTGGGGAAGGGGAAGGAAATGCAGTAGTTTGCTGCTTGCCTAAACCAGCAACAAATTATGATAACCCCTATACCAGTGAGTGGGTGAGCGTAGTCATGTCTCTGTCCTTTGCTAAAAATAAAAATTCCCTACAGGGGGTCAGCAGTGCCCAACTATTGTTGCAGAGAGTCCTGTGGGACCTTTAAGACTAACAGATGTATTGGAGCATAAGCTTTTGTGGGTGAATACCCACTTTGTCAGAAGTCAGTTTATGCTCCAATACATCTGTTAGTCTTAAAGGTGCCACAGGACTCTCTGCTGCTTTTTACAGATCCAGACTAACATGGCTACCCCTCTGATACTCAACTATTGTTGGTGTGTTCTGTACTGGGGTGGCCAAACTTACTGATCCTCTAAGCCACATAGAATATCAGGGTTGGAAGGGACCTTAGGAGGCCATCTAGTCCAACCCCCTGCTCAAAGGAGTACCAATCCCCAGACAGATTTTTACCCCAGTTCCCTAAATGATCCCCTCAAGGATTGAACTCACAACCTTGGGTTTAGCAGGCCAATGCTCAAACCACTGAGCTAACTCTCCCCCCCCGTCTGCTGGGGCTCGGGGCTTCAGCACTGCTCCCACTAAAGGCTCAAGCCCCGGCTGCCGCACCCCATGGGGCTGTAGCCCCAAAACACCTCTCCCTGCTGGCCCTTGTTGTCAGAGCCAGGAAGTGGGATCTGTTCTGAGAAACACACAGGGCTGGCTCCAGGCACCAGCCTACTAAGCATGTGCTTGGGGCGGCGCTCAGCCGGGGAAAGCGGAGCCGCAGCGGGCTCGCCGCCCTCCCCCGGCGCTCCGGCCAGTCGGGGAGAGCGGGGCCCCGGCCGGGCTCTCCGCCCTCCTCCCAGCGCTCCAGCTGGTCGGGGAGAGCGGGGCCCCGGCCGGGCTCGCCGCCCTCCTCCTGGCGCTCTGGCCGGTCGGGGAGAGCGGGGCCCCGGCCGGGCTCTCCGCCCTCCTCCCAGCACTCCAGCAGGCCGGAGAGAGTGGGTCCGCGGCCGGGCTCGGCACCCTCCACTGTCAGAGCCGGCCCTGGAAACACATCCTGTGAAATGGCCGTTGCTTTGGGCAAGCAGAGGAGGAAAGGCAAAAAGAGGTGTTGATGCCAAAGTAGGAAACAGAGGTGTCAAACCACAGTCACTTGAACAGGAGTAGGGTTACATGCTTCTTGAAACGGCTTCCAGAGTGATTAAGTTAGGGGACTTAGTGCTATGCAGGCACATCCTATACAGGCAAACAGCAGCAATGGCTAGACTGTGAGTGGCCCCTGCGCACAGGGTGCTCAAGAAGTTTTTCCTCTTTCATGGCTGCTATGGAGCACAGGGGATGCTCTTTCCTGCTTCTAGTGGGGAGCAGAGTGCTGAAAAAGGGGCAGCAGGGTGGGGTCTAGGACTGTGGGTCTGCACTGATTTCCATCGGTTTAATTCAGAGAATCTGGACACAGATCTTTCCTCTGTTCCATATTTATAATTCCTGCAGCTGCTTTGACTTGGGATCTGCAAGTCACATGCAAAGCGCTTGAAAGGCTTGTCTAATTTTGCAACAGCTTCTGTAAATGTCTCTGCTGAAAAGCAGTTGTGCCACTTCTCACTCTGCTCCTCCTCAGTCCGCAACAGAGAGAGTATTTTCCCATTACTCCAGGTGGAATCACAGCACTGTCACAAGTGCAACAAGATCCTGTTGAACTCAAGGCTGAGCTACAACCAGGGACAAATGTTGGTGTCCAGAGCAATAAGGAGTATTTGCACTGCATTTACATTCATTTTAATTAGATGGAGTTAAATGGCAGCCAATTATCTCAAGTTACAACAGGATTAAAAACTCCAGTCTAGACAGGGCTTCACAGACACTGAAAATATGGTGCTCTCTATTCTGTCTGTTTTAATTCTTGGGCATTTAAAACATACCTAAATATCTTTATTAGGTGCTTTTAGGAAAGGAGAGGCTCATTCCATGCTCTGCCCCATCTGTCTTAGCTATTTCTAAGGCATCTTTCATTGTGGTAACTGTCTTTCTGAGCTGGTTGCATGTCTGGTCCTAGATTTGCTACAGCAAAAGAAAACACACCTGAATCAGTATGAGATCTGGACACACTGTGGCTTCAGTATCTTGTCTGAGATCTTGTGTCAAAGGTTAGAATAGCTCAGCAGTGGATGAGGTGATTTCAAACAGTTTCCCCTTCTCTGACATGGTCTTCAGCCCGACGGTGCAGCAGTTATTGGATCATAATGGTAAGCAAACTTGCTGGGCAAGGAAAGCACGATGGTGGGCTTGGAAGACCTTCCTCTTAAATCCCCCCAATTTTTTCACTGGACCAAACATTTCACTGTCACGCTCCAAATTTTTTGACTCCCAACTTTTCTTCTTATGCAACTCAGAATAAACGCCTGGCTGGCTGCTCTTCTAACTCCAGAGTCCCACCCTTCCCACAGCAGTTGTGCACACTCAGCTGGAGTTGTGTACACACAAATGATGAGGTGACTGGGCTCTGGGTTAATGATAGAGTTCCCCGCTTCTGAAGGAGGCCCAGGCGAGGATAGTCCTTGCCAATGCAACCCAGAGCACCGATAATATTCCTTCTTCCACCACAGCTTCTAACTTCTCTCAGCAAAATGTGAGTTAACTTCTGGCCACCTTTCTAGCACTACTAATGTTGTTCTGCTTGACTTCTTCTCCTCAGAGGTCATGATGGACCAAAAGACTAAGGAAGTCTATTGTCGTTTCAACACCACAGTACTGCTGATGGGGACCAATCTGAATGCTTCTTCGATCTTTAATGTGGAGTGGCATGCACAGCTAAATGGGAGAGAAAAGGTCTCCATCCTAACATACTCACCCGGCTCCAACAACATCTATATTAATGAAAGTTACAGGAAGAGAGTTGTCTTTGCTCATATGAACTTTTCCTTGACGATACATTATGTGACTTTCAGCGACGAAGGAGTCTATACGCTGACCATCCAGCTGCTTAACAATCAGCAACAGATTGGCAGGACAAAAGTCACAGTGATCAGTAAGTGGCCTTTTGTAAAATCCATGGGAGCCCACCTCTTCTGATTAGACAGTGACAAATTTCCAGTGCACACACCTGCCCTCATTTGATTAGAAATGGCTGAAGTGAGCAAAGGGAGGTATTCAAAAGAATGTACAGAGAGTTGATAAACTGGTTCTGTTTAAAGCTAGTTTATTGAACATGGAGACTAACAACAGACCAAAGGGTGGCCCTGTGGTTAAGGCACTGCACTAGAACTCAGGACAATTCCTGCCTCTCCTACATATAAAATGGGGCTAATATTAATACTTGCTCTTTCCCACCCTTTGTTTATTGTGTCTATTTGGAGTGTAATTCATCAAAGCATGGAGCATCTTTACTATGTGTTTGCATAATGGCCAGCACAATGAGGCCCTGATCATGGCTAGACCCTCTGGCTGCTGCTACTAATACTGTACAAAAATAAAGACCTGAACCCAGCCTGTTACTGAGGTCTACAAGACTATGGTGCTTGACAATAAATGGAGTAGGGACGAGGGAGGGCATGGTTTAATGAAAACATGTCCAAATGTAAAAAGATCAGAAGGTATTCTTCAGGAAGCAAGGAGGAGCCAAATCCTGTTCAGAGAGAATGTGTTCATGGAGAATGTTCTAAAAGAATGAATTCCAAAGAAACCCTATGGAACCTTCATGAACAGTGAATTCTGAGTTTGTGGTCACAAATATTTGCACCAGAAATCTTATTCTAAGCGTTATGCTCATCCAATCTGGGAACAGGTGCATACCATATAATATATCAGTCCAATCAAAATGGCTCAATTTTGAATGTCAAGTAGTGAATGCTCACAATGAACTGCTTATAGAAGAGCCACAGACCAAGAATTATCACTGAAAAAATACAGAAATTCAGTATTAAGGTAGCCCAAACCCGTGAACCCTGCTCCCACAGCAATACTATGAGACAATCAGAAACCTATACTATCGTATCCATCCATGGCAAATGTTATCATTTGATCAGTGACCACAAAAAACTAGAATGACAATCTTAATCATAGAGTAGTTGGGTCACTTTTCAGCCTTCTTCAGAGTCAAACCCAGTGCACTTCAAATAATGGTACGATTTCTTGACAGGCAAATGGCAAAATAACAGCAGTCATACACCACTTCTCATTAAGACCCTGATCCTACGAAACACTGAGAGCACACAGCACCTTGCAGAAGGTGCTCAGCACCACACAGCATTGGGCTCCAATTCCACGTGGCAGATAATCACCCATCAGACACAGACACAACATGTCTCCATATCCAAACCTCACATGCCCAGATCCTGAAACTGCAGCACTTAGATGAAAAGGGCAAAAATTGACATGTGACAAATCATCATGCTTAATATCAGAGGCATGAGTGTATGTAACAGATTAATAAGCCAAAGTTGTGTGGTGCACTGTCATAGAGCAGGACTTCTCCCCAGCTTCCAAGCATGCCCAGTCTCCTTTAAGAAGGTTTATTGTCCAAACACAAGCAAGTAAAAAAACAGAAACAGAAATAGTCCCTTAACTCACCCTTTGTCTTTGGGTTTCACGGATACCTGTCCCAGGGGTCTCTGGTGATCCTGCTCTTTGCAGTTTCCCAGTTTCAGCCAGCTCTTTCTGGAGCGCCTGGCCACTTGCTCCAGAGACCCACCACAGGAGTTAGTTCTACTCCACTGTGGCTTCTCTCTCCCAGGCACTGCCTGTCCCAAGCACTTCTCCCCTTCCTGCCCTCTGGTAGGTCTGTATAGCCCTAGGTGTTGCCCCACCCCCTTTTAATTCACTCAGCTGTATCTCTATATGGGCAGTGGGCTGTAGTCCACGAAAGCTTATGCTCTAATAAATCTGTTAGTCTCTAAGGTGCCACAAGTACTCCTGTTCTTTTTGCGGATACAGACTAACACGGCTGCTACTCTGAAACCTATATGGGCAGAGTTAGTGTAGCTTAGGTGCCTTAACTGGGGATTTCCAGATAGTCAAAGATTTGAGTTTCTTGTACATTTAAACTTAATGGCTAATAGACATTCAAACCATTGGTATGTACCTACAACCAGAGCTGGCTGGAAAACCTTTTTCCCATCCTGTGAATATTTTCAAAAGTTTACCTTTTTCTCTCATCTCGAATTGGAATGAAAAGTTGAAATCTCAAAAATATTAATGAACCCCAAACTGATTTTTGTTTCATTTTGGGCCAGTTGAAATGTTTTGTTTTGAAATAAACTTTTAAAAAAACTTATTTTCCAGTCTAATTCGCTTCAATTTCTAAATGAAAAATATTTTGAACCAAAAAACTGAAAATTCTTCCTTTGAAAACATCAGTGAAAGCATTTCTGATGAACAACTTCTAATGAAACATATTCTGCCCAGCTCTAAGGTAGAGACTAGAATGCAGATTTGTAAAGCAAAGCAGTGAGGCTTTGTGGGAATATATATAATGTTACCCACAATCCCTTGCTTTCCCCATTACTCTGTGTTTGGAGGTCACCATAACTTGACAGCTCCTCTTGTGGTTTTTCAGTACCTGTATCGAACGTGCACATCACCAGTGAGACATCTCTTCATCATCAGGGGAAAAACATCACCTTGAATTGCCTGGGAATGGCAGGAAATGCCGTGTCCTACTCCTGGCAGAAATGCAACCAGCCTTTGCCAATTGGAAACCGCACCATCCTGTCTAAGGACAACGCATCCCTGACCTTCATTAACATACAGCAATCTGACATTGGGAACTACAGATGTGTGGCCCAGAATGTTCTCAGCTCTGGGCATAAAGACTTCATCCTGCAGCTTTGTGCTGAGACTGGTAAGACGGAAACTCATTATGAATTATTGTTATCATAATTCTAGCCTATGCTATGACATAGAGATTGAAAGCAGCGAACAAAGACCTACACTATCATGTCTTGGAACCTATCTGTGCTTCAGACACTGTGTGGGCACAGACACAGGTGCTGGCTTTTATTTTTCCCAGTGGATGCTCCATAGGGTGACCAGGTGTCCGGTTTTCAACTGGGTGCCTGGCGGCTCCGGTCAGCACCGCCGACCGGGCCATTAAAAGTCTGGTCAGGAGTCCCTTTCTGTCTGGCACTGCGCTTGTGCCCCAGAAGGGGCCAGCAGGTCTGGCTCCTAGGCGAAGGTGCAGTAGACGGGCCTGCTCGCTGCTCTTGCCCACAGGCACTGCCCCTGCAGTTCCCATTGGCCATGTGAGTGCGGAGCCAGTGCTCAGGGTGGGGGCAGCACATGGAGCCCCATGGCCCCCTCCCACACCCTGAACCCCTCATTTCTGTCCCTATCCCAGAGCCTGCACCCCCAGTTAAAGACCTCACCCCCTCCCACAGCCCAATCTCCTGCCCCAGCCCAGTGAAAATGAGTGAGGGTTGGGGAGAGCAAGTCACTGAGGGAGGGGGAATGTAGTGAGTAGGGGGCAGGGCCTTGGGGAAGGGGCAGGGCTAGGGTGTTCGGTTTTCTGAGATTAGAAAGTTGGTAACCCTGGTGCTCCACCCCCGCTGGGGCCCAAGGCCCCCCTGCCCCGCTCTGCCCCTTCCCCGAGGCCCCACCTTTGCCCCTTCCTCCCAAGGCCCTGCCCTCACTCTGCTGCTTACACACTTGAGCATTCATACTGCACTGTAAACCTGGGTATACAATTTCTGGACCTGGATCTCACAACTATGCTAATGTGTGCATACTGCATGATGCAGATCTTCTGACTCAGGTCTGCAGCTTGAACTGTGTCCACACTGCAAAATGGCAGGGCTTGGACCAAGTCACAGTGGGACTCAGGCTCTGACCCACTCCTCTTACCAGGGATGCAGAACCCAGGTCCTGAGTGCTTGCTGACCTGAGACAGACTGATTTGTGTGTGCCTGGAAGCGCGGCTTGTGCTCAAACCTGAGTCAGAGCCCGGGCTTAGTGTGCAGTGTAGACATACCCTCTGGGGCCCTGAAGAGGGAAAACAGGGGGGCGGGGCTGCTGCAAAGGGAACTCTGGCCATGAGGGACCGCTCGTGAAGCAGCAGCTCTGTTACAGTTTCTCTCTCACACACCCCCAAAAAACCCAGGTGTAAATGCAAACACAAGGTTCAAACCTGGAGACATTTTTGTGAAGCACTTTGGATCATTTACCCTGAAGATGTTTTGTTTGTATTCTGTGTTTCTGTCAACCCTAACCAGGTGTCTCTCCCTGGTGGAGCTATGGCATTTACGGGTACCCTGGCTATCTGGGCTACGCTATTGTCCTCTTCTACATCTTCAGCTGGGTGAAAAGGACCAGGAAAAGCAGCTCCAAAGGCCAGTCAGGTACCAGTGCCTCCATCTTGCCCCTCAACTGCTGAGCTTCCCTCCCCTTTGCCTTCCACCATCCATTACAAGGCTTTCATAGAAGCATCTGTGTGCAAAGAAAAGTGTAATTAAATATTCCTGATGCAGTCATATTTTTTAGTTTTCTAAGGTGTCAATGCAGGGACTGGTTACACTTTAGCTTGCCAAATAAATGCAGATTTTTGAAGTTTCAGCAAAGCCTTTCACCATGCAAGCTGGGGGTGAGGCACAAGGCTGATACAAAAGAGATGAAAAACGCTTCTCCCCCGGGGAATCAGGGAAGCATTCTGATTTGGAGGTGTTTTTACCCTGCTTTGCACAAGGTGCAAGGCTGTGGAGATGAGGCCCATAGCCAGCAGAGTTGAAACACAGAGGCCATTACAAGGATAATGTTGATAACCAGAAAACAGTTAACACAAGGGAAAAAAATGCAGGAAGAGGAAACCCACAGTCCAGGTCTTAGTCCCATGACTGTGAGCATGTACAGCCTCACTTCCCACAGCCATCAGCCCCTTCTGCCTCCCAAACAGTCCTTCATAGTTCACTCCCTGAGCACCTGTGTTTAGCTGAGGGTTAACTTCTTGTTCCCTGAGCAGAGTCCCTACATCCCATCTTTCACAGCCATTCAGGAAGAGACAGGCTCCATCCCAGTACCTCAAGAGAACTAATGCTAGGAAGCTGGTTTTATCTAAAATGTGCAAAACATCTGCTACAAAATTACAAAAGTGCCCAAATCAGGAGTCTCTTTGCCTTCTGTTACACACAGAGGGATGGAGCAGAGCACTGAGAAATGCCCACTTTACGCTCCTGAGCAAAAAGTGGCTTTGAAATGCGCAGTTCAAAATTGAAATCTCTGCATGTTTCAAATGCAGAAACAGACACGTTTCAAATGTTGTAGATTTTTTTCTGGAGAGAGAGACTTGGCAGATTTAAAATCCCCCAGGTTGCTGCGGATTACCATCCTGGTTAGCTTTATTCCCCAGGCTGCTGCTGGCAAGCCTTTGATATGACAGGAGGTGCTGGGGAGGGGCAGGGTAGCCATGGCACAGCGATACACTTTTACACTCTGCTCCATACCAGCTGCAGATATTCCAGCGCATTCCTTACCCCACTGGTCCTGCTACCACCTCTGGAGCAAACAAGAAGTTGATGGTAGGGTTCACTCTGGTATTTAATAAGCCCCTTTCTTCAGGTTTTGGCCATGTCTGGTTATCAAATGGGATGGTAGCGCTATCACTTTTTCATGATCTGCCCCTGAAGCTCACTTGGCATCACACATGGAAGCTGCTTGATCCATTCAGAGTCATCTTGGAGACTCATGTTGTTTTATTTTCTGTTTTTTAAACAGATGCCATTTATGAAAACACGGCTTTTGAAAACACCCCCACAAACAACGGTAAAAGAGTTCCCCCTGTCTACATAAGACACATCAAGAAGTAATCTTAAAGGGACGAAGAAAGACTGGTTTCTATTCAGAGTGGCTTTGTTTTATTATGTGTATAAAATACTCTGCCTGTCCTGCTAGCGTGCACGTCCCATTGCTGATGGTGAGAAACAGCTCCAGGATGAAAGAAAGAAAGAAAGAAAGAAAGAAAGAAAGAAAGAAAGAGCTCTATAGATGGAGCGAAACTGCCTTTCTGCACACTAGCTGCATGCACCTGTCTACCTACCTGTGGTACTTACATGAACTCCTGCTTCCAAAATATCTGAGCACAGCCTTTAATTATTTACTTAGCCTCACAACACCCATTTGTTTCCCCATTTTACAGATGGGGATCTGAGATGCTAAGTGACATGCCCCAGATTACACAGAGAGTCTGTGGGCTTGTCTACACCACGCAGCTTTTAGCGACAAGACACAGCCTTGTCGCTAAATGTCAGTGTGTGTAAACGCTCTTTTTCGGTACTTTGTTGACACTTTTGTCAACAAAATACTTCCAGCCCCGCAAGCAGCATTAGCTTTGTCGGCAGAAGAGCACTCCTGTCGACAAAGCCGCGTTCACACTGCCACTTGCGTCGGCAAAACTTTTGTCTTTCGCGAGGGGGCTTTTTTAAGTACCCGTGAAAGACAAAAAAAATTCGACAACTTCACAGTGTAGACCAACCCTCAGACAGAGAAGGAAATTGAATCCCAGTTTCCCAAGTCCCAGACTAGTCCTCCAACCACTGGACCACCCAGCATCAACTCGTGTTGGTGAACATACGCATTGTCCTTCTGGGAGGGAGACCTCTCCAATGTTTCCATTTTTATGCATATGCATTACTTCATTTACATAAGTGACACCAAGCTACAGCATTGCAAAATAAAGGCACTGTGCTCAGTGTCTCCCCAAGTTGCCTCATCCCCCACCATGTTGTAGGTCAGGGGTTGGCAACCTTTCAGAAGTGGTGTGCCGAGTCTTCATTTATTCACTCTGATTTAAGGTTTCATGTGCCAGTAATACATTTTAACGTTTTTAGAAGGTCTCTTTCTATAAGTCTATAATATATAACTAAACTATTGTTGTATTAAAGTAAATAAGGTTTTTAAAACGTTTAAGAAGCTTCATTTAAAATTAAATTAAAATGCAGAGTCCCCCGGACTGGTGGCCAGGACCCGGGCAGTGTGAGTGCCACTGAAAATCAGCTCGCGTACTGCCTTTGGCACACGTGCCATAGGTTGACCCTGTTGTAGGTCATTTACCTTCAGCTCCACTGCCATTCCCACAACATCCTGAGGAAAAATCTGAGTCCTGGCTTCTTGAATGGGGGGGGATCTTCTCCAGGAAGTGGGATGACAGTTCTTCACAGCGCTTGGTGCTGGGTTCTGCCTAAGCTTGAAGAAAGTCTTTGCTTCCTTCTGTCTGTTTCAGCTTTGGTTTTCCCATCATCGACACTCTCGTTTCTACCCCTCTGTCTTTGTCTGGCACAGGGTGTCAGAAAACCATGGAGATCTATGGGTGATAGGAAGGAAGGGGCATTCTGGGGCTAATGCATTGAGGATAGTGCACAAGGGTAATAATTCATCAGATCCTCGACTCCTTGTCTTGTGCGTGAATTGCTGCTGTCCTATTGGCAGGCTTTGGAATTTGGTGGGGTCTTAGTGGTCAGATCAGACTTGTGGGTCTTTCACAGAAAGTAGGAGAGCTCTGACCACTATCTTCATGAGGTGACGGTCTAAGAAAGGGGTTGGGCTGTGATGTCCTCCGTATTGACATCTAACCCAAGGACCAGGTCCAAGGTGCAACTGGCTGTATGGATTCGACCAAAGGGGTGAGAATCATAGAGAGGCAAGTGAGAGGAGTCAACATGCATGTTTAAATCTTCCAGGGCAAGTCTGAAATATTTCACCATCACCATGAGCAAGGTATCTGTGAGCTCCTTTATGAACTCTTACAGACTATCAAAGGCTAAAATCTGCATGACATTTCTAAGCTTGGTTTCTCTTTACCTCTGACCTTGCTAAATCCAGTTATGAGCAGGCAATCTTAGAACTATTGGTGGCTCCTTCTTGGACTTTAAAATTAATATGGAAAAATCTCCTGCTTTGTCTTCAGCACTCCAGCCCACACAGGAGTTAGTAGAAAAGACACCTTTTTGGACTCCCAGTTTAAATATCTTAGGCCTGGTTTTGCCCTGCAATAGAGCAGCTTTGCACCTATCTACTAGCAGAAAGCAGCCCTAAAGCTTGCTTCCCTGGACCACGGAGAATCACCCTGTATAATAGCAGACTGTTGGCATTCTGAAGTATTTGGAGGGAAATTGGAGACTGCCATTCTCCTCAGGCTCTGGAGAATCCAGGGGTGACCCAAGAAATGCTTAATGGCAACTGGCAAGGAGGTAAAGAGGGGTACAGGCCTCTCATGGGTCTGTTTTTATATTCTAGTTCACCAAAGATTGTCATGTGAGGTCTTGAATAAAAGCCTGCACCACTCTGTTCATCAAGATCATTGTGAAGTATATATTGTGTATATACACTGAAATTATGGCCTTAAAGTCTGTAGCTACTGGCCACCAGCACAGGTGCAAACAGGTTTTCTGTCAGACAACTTGGGGTGTGTGTGTGTTATTTATCCATCTGTTCACATGTAAACGGAGTATTGTCTCATTCTCAATGGGCTTCCTATCAAGTCTGAACTGTATGCAAATGAAGGATGCTGAGGGGAGAGGGACTTCAGACATATCTAACAGGAAGAGAAGACCAGAAGGGGGAAGGGAACCTTATCTGGGGGGAGCACTTTGAAGGTTTGCTTGACTGTATTTGGGGGGCAAGAAGATGCCCGAGCACCTTTCACTGGGGAAGCAACAAGCTTGATTGAAAAATGCTAAAGAGAATGTTGAGTGAGATCAAACTTCTTTATACAGGAAGTTAACCTTTTAGTTAAGTTTAGTCTCTAGAAAGCGTGTTATGATTTTGCTTTACATGTAACCACTTGTTCCCAGTATTCTCACTCACTGTTACCTGATCTCTAAACTTTGATAATATATTTATAGTGAAAACAAGAATAAGTTTGTCTAAGTGCTGTGCAAAGTGCTGGCGCTGAGCTGAATCTTATGAGCGGGTGGTTACTGTCCCTTCGGGAATAACAGGCCTGGTAGCTCTGGAGTGTTCAGTGGTTCAGGGGCTGGAAGCTGCAGGGAATGATCTGAGGAGTCGGGGGTTGGTGTGTGCCTAGCGCTACCTGTACAGACAGAGCCAGGCCTGCGGGGGTCTGGAAGGCAGGGCTTGTGTTGGCAGGGGCTAGTGGATTCAGGGAGCTGATCCACAGCAGGCACAGGCTAGGCTGTCTCCTGTGAAGGTAGTGTTGCCAACCCTCCAAATTGTCCTGAAGTTTCCAGGAATTACAGATTAATCTTTAATTAAAGATTATGTCCTGTGATGAAACCTCCAGGAATATGTCCAACCAAAATTGGCAACCCTATGTGAAGGGCAGGTGGTTGTGAGGTACCTGATAATCCTGGGTACCCCTGGGGAACGTCATAACGGGTCAGTCGTACATTCACACACTACGAGACTACACTATAGAGACTGAGAAGATCAGAGAGGAACCTGTCTACATGTGTTGGGAGGTCAGACTAGATCAGTGGTTCTCAACCTATTTACCCTTGTGGGCCACATCCAATACTACCTGTCTGTCCCTGAGGATGTCACAGGGGCTGCAGCTGTGTGCTGATTGAGCTGCAAGTAGCCCATGGGTTCAGAACCACTGGACTACATGATCACAATGGTCCCTTCTGGTCTTGGAATCTATGAAGCCACCTATTGAAACGTGTGACAGCAACAAAGTGGGGCAGTCCATATAAAGAACACCAGTAGGTTTACTGGCTAATAGCTTGGGTTAAGAAGTTACACAAAAGTCTTCCGAAATCTGTTTGCAAATGTTTGTGTATGTATTAAATATTTGCTCCCTAAGAAATTGTGTGGTAGTCTCTCTCTCTCTCTCTCTCTCTCTCGCCAGCGCTGACCGGCGGCTATTAACACCTACATTCAGGGTTTTGCATACCACAGCTCTGAAGTTTAACGCTGGCTAACACTTTGCTGACAAGTCATGAACAAACCAAACACTAACTTATGTTTTGGCAGAGACATAAGCTGAGGTGAAGGAAAAAGGGACTGGAGCACATGACTTAGGAGGAGAGGCTGAGGGAACTGGAATTATTTAGTCTGCAGAAGAGAAGAATGAGGGGGGATTTGATAGCTGCTTTCAACTACCTGAAAGGGGGTTCCAAAGAGGATGGATCTAGACTGTTCTCAGTGGTACCTGATGACAGAACAAGGAGTAATGGTCTCAAGTTGCAGTGGGGGAGGTTTAGGTTGGATATTAGGAAAAACTTTTTCACTAGGTGGGTGGTAAAGCATTGGAATGAGTTACCTAGGGAGGTGATGGAATCTCCTTCCTTAGAGGTTTTTAAGGTCAGGTTTGACAAAGCCCTGGCTAGGATGATATAGTTGAAGATTGGTCCTGCTTTGAGCAGGGGGTTGGACTAGATGACCTCCTGAGGTCCCTTCCAACTCTGATATTCTATGATTCTATGATTCTATGAAATTTAAGAGTGAAAAGTGCAAGGTCATGTATTTAGGGATTAATAAGAACTATTGTTATAAGCTGGGGAGGCATCAGTTGGAAGTAACAGAGGAGGAGAAGGACCTCGGAGTATTGGTTGATCACAGGATGACTATGAGCCGCCAATGTGATATGGCCGTGAAAAAAGCTAATGCGGTCTTGGGATGCATCAGGTGAAGTATTTCCAGTAGAGATAAGGAGGTGTTAGTACTGTTATACAAGGCACTGGTGAGACCTCATCTGGAATACTGTGTGCAGTTCTGGTCTCCCATGTTTAAGAAGGATGAATTCAAACTGGAACAGATACAGAGAAGGGCTACAGGAGGTTTTTTCAGTCAGGCTTGACAAAGCCCTGGCTGGGATGATATAGTTGAAGATTGGTCCTGCTTTGAGCAGGGGGTTGGACTAGATGACCTCCTGAGGTCCCTTCCAACCCTGATATTCTATGATTCTATGACTGTCCAGTGTTATAGCTGCCCTGTGCTGGAGCTTCCTGCCTCATGCAGATGTTGGCCTGTTGATGTGTAAATCCACAACCACACACATCCTGTGATATTATTGCACC